GTTTTAAATTAAGAGTTTTTTACATCCTTCTCACTTTTCAGTTGTTATTTTAGACTTAGCGATAATTCCCGTAACATCTGCCAAACGTTTGGTAATTATTGAATAATTACAGAAAGCATCAAACGTTATCGTGGAGCACGAAGAAAAGTAACGACCATATATCAGGAAAATTCACAGTTTAGTCTGCCCCCATCAACATTGCAGGCTCCACCGGTACAAGTAAGTCCCGTGGAGGGATATTGATACAACGTGTATACGATAAAAGAATCGATAAAACCCGCAGTGACTTCTGACGGCAAAAGTTCCGTAATCACATTTATGAAACAACTGAACTAGCATCTCCTACTTTATTTAGTTTTTTGAGGAAAAAAGGCACCGTAGCAACCGCCGCACTTCAAGAACAGGCAAGTGAGTTGTTACGAAACGGCAATAGCATTAAGATTACCAACAAAATAGAAGAAAGATCTTACAGTACATTATAAGGTTTTTGCCCTTCCGTGAATGCTCGTCAGTGGTCTATTATTGATGCTAACAGAAATACAGGGTGTTTTTTTTTAAAACTGACACTACTCAGAGCCGTTTGCAGCTCGATCTATCAGCTGGAATGTCATCATATTTGAGAGGGGGACTAATGATGACATGAAAAAAAGGATTTCCCGAAAAAAATTCATTCTGAAAGTTGCCGATAGTGGGGAAATGTGGCTCTGTTCTAGTCTACACAACTGATAATTTGCATGACCAGCGGGTAAAATTTTAAAATGTAAGCAAATACTCGGTCACGTAAACAACATAAACGTCAATAATTTAGTCTATAAAGATAATGGGAAAATACCGAAGGGCATTCCGAATGTCATTTGGGTTCAACGTTGCGTCTAGCTTTACTTCAATGCGCGTTACTTGTGAAATGGTTTTAGCTTCATCAATCGAACTCAACCACTGCATTTCGTGAGTTTCGAAAATCAGTGTCAGAATAGACAGTTACCGATGTCGTGACTGCTGTTGTTGATGGCATTCATGGAACCATTGCTGATAGTAGCTGTACCCAGAAAATAGCGCGATAGTTTCATTTGAATCATTAGCAAATCTTCAGAAAGTTCTTCACGTCTACACATACAAGATATGTCGCGTGCAGAAATAGAAACACAACGATTATGGTAAATGGGTGGCATTTGCTCTGACATTTCTTGCCAGAACTGAGGTGGACGGGGAGAATTCTGTGGGGAGATGAGGCCCATTTGCACCTAAATATGACTGTAATTACTTACAGTTCTCGAATTTAGGCATCCGAACAATTCCATGCAGTTCAGGAAATCCTATTGCATTCACTTTAGGTCACTGTTTAGTGTGATTTCACAGCAGATTTCATTCACAGACCATTCTTTTTTGGAACATTAACAGGACCGTACGCCTGTACAGTTACCATGCGAACATATTATGATATGCTCACTAGTTTTGTCACGCCACAACTTCAGCAGAGGCAGTTGCTGTCATCAGGTAACTTTTATGCAGGCTGGAGCATCACCGCTCATTGGTCTACAGTAACAGCGGCTGTTGCGTGATCTCTTAACAGAAGAAGGATTATAAGCAGGCCTGTGGAGTCGGTAGTAAAAATGACCGACTCCGGAAATTTTAATGACTCCGACTCCCTCATATATATATATATATAAACATATACACGTGGGTTACAGCTTATTTTTTTAATATAAAAGAAGTAATAGATGCTACAGAAAAAAAAATTGAGGGCATAGCAAATTATTTATATTAATTATCATTTATTATGAAATGGAAAAACTGGCATTAGTTATTTCTAAGAAATAGTATAGCTTCGGCAAGATTTTCTTTGTTGGAGGGCCATAGATCCGATTTGATAAACTTCAGAGCTGAGAAGAGTCTTACCACACTAACTTGAGTAGGAGGAAGAGCTTCTTTAGTGCTTAACTGTTAGTAGGGCTTTACTTCTTTTAACTTTTCAGGATAGATTTTTATAAGTTCTGAAAGAGGTGTCTTGCAAGCACAATCATATTTCTCTATTTCTTCAAAGGCCGTGTAGAAATCTTGTTTGCATTTTTTCATTTCTATATCTAAAGGCTCTTGTTTTTTATTTTCAATGCTTTGCCTTAGCCTTTTCAATATTATCCAAAAGTATTTCTCAAAATCTAATTCATCAGTTGAAAAGGATGATAGAGACTCAATTGCAATGTCCGCAGTTTGACTGTCTTGATTCGAATTCTACAATTGTTCTGAGAATAATTTCATTTTTACTGAAAGTTCATAGATGACTTTCTTCACCTTTTGAATCTGTTCGTCATCCAAGAAAATTAGGTGTTTCGGATCTCCATATATTGAACCCAGCAAGATCTCATTGTCTAGCAAACTAGTTTCTCTTTTCTTCTTTGAAGAAATGATTCCTTCTGCTATAAACCCTCCATTTCAGAGAGAACAAACATCCCATTCTCACCTCCTGTCAATTCTTCAGATTGCAGCTTTTTTGTCCAATTCTGCAAGATAATTTCACAGTCTTTCTGTTAGTGAAACATTAGGGTTATCTACATCTCCTAAAAAAGTTCCTAATTGTAAAAACCTCTTTATCATCAAATATGTACTTCCTTATTACATTGCTTGATCAATAATTGCTCCTTTTCCTGCTCGCTTCCTAAGAATGGCATCAATTTTAGGAGGTTTTGCTGCTATTGCTGCTTACCTAAATTTACCAGTGAGATTTGTAACTAAATGAATCAGTTTAATCACTAATGGCAAATATCACATCCATCCTTCTCCCTTATATTTATTTATGAATAGGTCATTAAAATAGAAAATAACTATTTATTAATGTATACAGTCTATAAATAAAAATAACTCAGCTTGTCATTAATTTTTTCAATTCATTTTAATTTCAGTTCAAATTCAAACTGTCCAACGAAACCTGGAGTCGGAGTCGACCTGTTTTTAGAGACTCTAGCTCCGACTCCTTTTACCCCAAAATCTGCCCGACTCCGATTCCACAGCCCTGGTTATAAGCCCATTTTCCGCGCTATATGCCGCCTCGCTTCCTGAATCAAACTCCATGTGACTCCTGTGGGTTTATTTGAAGTTCAAGGTCTATCTTGATGGAGTCTCTACTTTGACGACCTTAAAGGACAACATACTACAAGCTGTGCTGAGCATTTCTGGTGATATGGTATGTTTGGCCGTAGAGAATGCTGTGCACAGGATGCAACGTGTGATCCACGAGAAAGGCTGGCAAAACTGTAAGAGGTCCATGCCTTCTCCGAAAGAGTTCTTTTATTGAATAAAGTTCTGTGCTGCACTGAAATAACACCTCATTTACCCGGTTGTCCATATGATGCCTTAAAATGGTGTTGCACTGAAATTTCTCTGTTATTAATTGGTCTAGTTCTTAGCTGTGTTGACTAGAAAAGCGCCACATTTTTCCTTATCGGCAAAACTTTCAGAACTAGTTTTTTTTTTTCACTGAATCTTTTTTCCTATGTTATCATTAATCCATCTACCAAATTTGGTGGCATTCAAACAGATAGGAGGCTCTAAGTAGTGTCAGTTTGGAAACAAACATCTTGTGAATTTCTAGAAAAGGAAATTTACGGTTATTTATTAATGAAATTTGTTATTTAATGTTCACAACTGATGGTAATAAAGCATTATGCACTCTTGATATCCATCCTTACAAATTCCTTTGTAGAGTTCCTAACTTTGTAGAGTTTTTCCTTTTTCTAAGTTAATGTTGGAAGTGAAGAATCTAAGAACTGCTAATTGAATAATCGCTTAAGTTCGATGACAAGAAACAAGATAGAAAGGTAACTAACCCTTTATTATTTCAATAAGATTTAACAAAACTCCGCCTGGGAGTGTACAAACAAAGCCCGCACTTGGGCTTGAACTTAAAAGACTAAGAATTAAACTAAAACTAAGATTAACTGAAGAAATATAGCCGAAGCTATCAAGGTTCAAATCGAGTTGGCCCTTTAACTTATTTGACTACGAAGCTTAGCAAGGGCCTGAGTACGGCCGAGCGTAATAACAGCTTTGAGAGAGAGAGTGGCCAAAAAGGCAGACGTGGCCAAAAAATCAGAAACTCTGATTCTCTCTCACTCAGTAAGTAACTTCATGGTTTAAATACCGCTCCTCCTCATTAAATATTAAGCAAGATTCCAAAACTACGTTCTAGCCGGAAGTAGTAAGTTGCAGTTAAGAATTTGACAGAAAAGGAACTTTAACTTGAAATTTAACTGTTAATAAAATTAACATAATCCTTACACCTTAAAATATTTTGATGAATGTACTTTCCTAATTTTGAAAGACTGATACATAATATACAAATTAAAAATTTTTCATTAATTTATCTTTCATTCTAGTATATTTTTAAATGCTTAATTGCTGATATGTTCATTTTTGAATGCTCCTTACGTTCAATAAACCCAGTTAATTATTTTCTATGAATGAGTTTTAGTCATGAAATGAATATTTTTTTAACCTTCAATATATCTCCTCGTGCCTAATAAGTAATACTCGAAGGTTATAGCTGTGGTAGCTTACGACATGCTTTTAAAATTGCTGAAGCAAAAAATAAACTAATCAGGCCCGTTTTAAATCATTTCTACTTTACATGCATATAGAGAGAGTCATATTTTACTTCAATATCGCATTTATTTAACTTTTCTTTTTGGTAGTTACTCCTTGTTTCTATACTGTGTTGCTTCCAGTTAATTCACGTCTTTGTAGAAAATTTAATTTTCTCTTATGCTAATGTGAGAACATTTTGCTTATTATATGTTATACCTTAAATAATATTAGAGACTTATAGTCTGATTAAATCAGTGGTCGTAATCTCGAAAAAGCAATCTACTGAAGGCACTTAATTGCAACTCAGTTTATCTTAATAGTAAATATCTATTACTTCTAGTGCTAAATGTTTACAGTTTCTTGTTCATAACTTAAATTTTTGAATTTTCACCTTCGAGATAACTTTGTTCCTTTCATTTCAGATGCATCTTTCTTAATCAACTCGACCTCTCACTCTGAAGATGAATGAAGAAAACAGGATTAAAGGATTTTCGACACTTTTACTGCATAATCAGTTAAATGAAACACTTCTTCCACTTTTTCTTAACTATTCAACCAACGGATCATACGACATCAACTATACGCAAGAGGAAGACAGTATTTACATTCCTTATGAATCACGTCCAGAAACTTATATTGTTCCCTTGGTATTTGTTCTAGTATTTACTGTTGGGTTGCTAGGAAACGGGACATTGATCTTCATTTTCATTCGCAACAAATCCATGCGAAGTATACCCAACACATATATCATCAGTTTAGCTATTGGAGATTTTCTAGTCATAGTTGGAACAGTCCCGTTCATAAGTACAATCTATACATTCGATAGCTGGCCTTACGGAACATTTATTTGCAAACTTAGCGAGTTTCTAAAAGAAGTATCATCAGGAGTAACAGTTCTTACTCTTACTTTGCTCAGTATTGATCGATACATTGCTATAGTGAAACCACTCCATAAGTTAACTGGGCACAGTGGTAAAACGGTTACTCTTGTACTTGCTGTTATCGTCTGGATAGCGGCCATAGCAATTGCAATCCCTGGGGCTCATTTTTCTTTCCTTTGGAAAGTAAATTTACCCCCTAACCATGTAATTTATGTTTGTTACCCATTTCCAGAGGATATGAAACCCTGGTATCCACAAACGATGGTTTTGGTTAAATTTTTATTGTTATACGCCATACCGCTTGGTCTCATAGCAATTTTCTACGCGCTCATGGCACGACATTTGTTTTCGGCATCCAAAGATTCGTTTGGAACCAACCATAGTCATATTCAGAAGCGAAGAAGACGAACTAAAGTTGCTAAACTTGTCCTCGTTTTCGTACTTCTGTTCGCTGTTTGCTTCTTTCCAAGTCATGTTTTTATGATGTGGTTTTATTTTCACCCTAATGCTATTGATAATTACTCACACTTTTGGCATGCTTGGAAGATTTTGGGATATGTACTCACATTTTTTAACAGCTGTTTAAATCCCATTGCTTTATACTTCATCAGTGGAGTATTCCGTGTACAGTACAGGAAGTATTTATTTTGTTGCACCACAGAACCGTCTAAACAAAACCATTTAAGCATGCTTAAAACTTTGCGAAGTTCATCAAATCGCAGCACAATTAGGATAACACAAGTCTCAAAAATATAATATTCTTTGTCAAATATCAGTATCCTTAAATGAGGAACTAGTTATGATTAATGTTTTTGAATAATTTATTCTCCTTTATGTACATTATAATAAAAAGGTTATGCATCTCAGTCGTCAAATGAAAAATATAGTTAAATATTCATAATAATTGTTTCATACTGATATTTAAGCAAAATATGTACCATAATGTTTCACCTTTTAATGAGCTTCTCACTCTTTAGAACTATGTGATTTACCTTTTGGGAGTCAAATGTTTCATATTGAAATCCATTCCAAAGGATGGTAACAAATATATGTTTCACCAAATGATGACTACCATGATAACTACGTCAGTACATACTGGATATTCTCATAACAATACTCATAGTTTTACATTTCGTGCTATAATGCAAACAAATGTATGAAAATGACAAGTAAATTATCATACAAAATAATAACAGAAAAATCGCTTCATCTTAAGTAATTCGAATAGACGTCTCGGAAATCTTTCATGAGAGAAGCATGAGATACTGAAATCCACATAAAGAAATATCAAGGGTTTGTTTTCGCCATTTGATGCTACATAGCGATTCATTGTTCTTCCTTTAATGAATTTATTTCTCAATTCTCGTAAACAAATATTGCTTGGACGTCATATGCAATAGGTTAGTTCTCTTTCAAAATACGTGATGTGATATTCGTTATTTCTAGTCCGCATGATTTTCTTGACAGCTGCGACTGCGTCCAGCATTATTACCTGTCTCATCCGAAATTCAGAAAGTTATGATTCTACTTATTATCCTTATCATTAGTTGGAGAAGTAAATGAGTCTCTTCCTCCTTGAATAAACAAGATAGTAAATGTGTTTATAAGCGTGTTCATATAAATAATATTCCTAAACATGTCAAAACAATTAAACATTGTTTTTCTTAAATGTATGATAAGCTTCGCTTTGTAGGATGAATCAACTCACACACGAAACAAATATCTAGATGGTTACGCAGGAAACTTCTTGCAGATATTTTCGAAAATGTGTTCAGATAAAGTACAAAACATTTTATATTTTCAAACAAAATTTTAAATTCTAATTTTTACATGTGCTTATTGCAACAAGTAATACATTTTAACCAGTTTATGTCATCAGTATGATTCGTAAATAACTAATGTTCGAGACTAGCATAAGCTTCGTTTAACTGTATATATCCATAAACATATCCATACACCATTTAAGTAGAGCTTAAATGATCTAAAAGGGTGTCGTCTAATACGATAACCATTAACCACATCTGGTTGATAATCACTTGAAATGTGGCTACTGTGATAGAAGAAATATTTATTATCAGTCAAATTTACTCAAAAAACAAATACTTTCCGTCACACATATAATGAAATTTCGATATTTGAAAATTATAGCCTTTTCCCATTGAATATGTTCTCTCTTTCTTTTGCGTGAAGTGAATTACAAGATATGTTGCAACAGAGGCTTAGATTGTCTGTATCAAAGCATTCTTTCTCATATTTTTATTTTACTTCAGATATTTTAATACTTATCAACAGAAGTTTGCAATTTTGATGCAAAATCTTAAAACTAAATTAGAAGAATTTGTGCAAAACAAAAGCTATAAAGTACCTAATTTTTCATTATGTTAAACTTGTAGTCAAATTTTTACATTAATTATGTTTATTAGTGAAATGATATTTTTCATATTCGTAATTCTTGCTGTAATTATAACAACTGTAAGTGTATCAGAGCACAAAATAAGGCAAAATATAGTTATAATGTTTTGTTTTTTTAATTAGTATTTTTATGTGACTATTGGAAAATTTGTTTGGGCATGTGGCTAATATTATGTTCCTAATTTGCTTTGGATTTCTGTAATTTCGGTTGCCCCTTCTCAGTGTATGAAATTAGTTAATAATCCTTTTATAATAAGAGGAAGAAATTGAAAATTATCAAATATACATCAATCAAATTACTTCATGATTCTCTTCTCACTCGGGACGTGAAATTAATAACAATCCTTTACGAATTGCATTGCTTTTTTTAAATAACGTAGATTTACAAAGTTTTCTTTGCTTAAAATAACGTTATTTTTAAATAATGAAAAGTTATAAAGTTTTTCAGCAATTTATTGGAAGAAAATCGATAAAATAATTATATTTTTATAAGAGAATAAAAACGTGCTGGTGGAAAACATTAAAACATTCATTTAAATTATTAAAAGCATAACTTGGGGGGAAGGGAACGATCTCATAAAAATTACTAAAATAGTACATAAATAGATCCATTTTATCTTACCAAAATATAGGGAAAAATTCACAAGAAATGTAAAATTAAAAGTGGTAAATGAGATATTCTAAAAGAAAAGAAAAATCTAATAAAGGCAGATACAGTAAATAAATTTTTAGAGCGAAGATTCTCAACAAGTAGAGAATTAGCCCTCAAGGAAGTAATTCATTCGACCCAAACTGACATATACAAAGTATTTCAAAAAACTGCGATGCATTTCGTGTGACGCTAAGTCCTTCTTTTTCAAAATAAAAAATTTTTTTGCATTTGAAAAAGCAGAAATTGTTGCTCATGGTCTCATGAAAAGCATTAAAAAACAGCTAATTTAGCTTATGAAAATAGAAGCAAACAAAAAATAAGTTCTCAAGTTTTGTAAATATTTAATAAATAGCTTGTTGTGAGAATACAATGCTTCGATATGAATGTAAAGTATTTTTCTCCCACAGTAGTGTAATTTGTTAATGCCCTGTTGAACAACATTGCAACGTTAAAGTCAATTTTTTTATAACAGTATTATATTCTATTCTTTTAATCGTGTATTAAATAGCAGTTTATCGGTGTATTTTGTTTACCAATTAAAGAAATTTGCAGAAACTCTTTCCTTCATACGCACTTTTTTTAATTTGTGTATCATGCTATATATTCAATGTTGTCTTAAAAATATTATTATATTAACCTTCCAATGTATATAAATTGTTTATATGCTATGTATTGCCTTTCTATTTTGTTAATAAACTTTGCCTTTAATTTTGAATAATTTACTATCATAAAATATTTTGCATGAATAACTTTCTAAACAACTTTAAGAATTGTTACTTGTAGAAGCTGCTCTATAAATACCTACTTTAATAAAATTTAAATGTCATAAAATCATGTGTAATGTACTAAAATTTAAATGTGATACAATCATGTGCAATGTAATGAAATTAAATGTGATACAAATCATGTGCAATGTAATAAAATTTAAATGTGATACGAATCATGCATATTATTTTAATTATTAGAACATCAATTAAGCAAGGACTGGAAACATTGCAGAAATCTTTTTTAACAAGAAAAATCATAGATTCTCTTTCATACTTTCCCTTTACCTTCAATTTAAAAAATTTGCATATACTTTTCAATGTTTGCTGTATAATTGAAGTTTGAAACAATAAAGATAAATAATAGGATTTCTTAATACAAACCTTGTAAAAATTATGAGTACTTTGAGAGTAACATAACACTGACTTTATGAGAGATTATTAACATTATTTGAATATTTTGAATGAATTATCGATTACTTCCTCATCTAGCAGTGTAAATGGCGAGACAAAATATCCATAAAATGAAAACTTTTTCAGGGATAACTGTTTTATTTTGTGAAGAAATTGTTATCATTTTAAACATTTTTTTTTAGCAATTCCACAATTTTCGTAAAATATTCGGACAAAATAATAACTATTCCACTTTTCATTAATGCTTGTGTCATGTAGAAATACTTTTTAACAGAGTATATATTTTATCAGTTTATTAAAATATCCTGGCACAAATATATGCACAACAGATTACAGTTGAGCATTTTACGTTGCATAACTCGAGATCCACACGTAAGATCATCTGCTATAACCTTCTGTGCTCTTCTGACGTTTTTGTTGCCATCACATTAAAAGCCAGTGCCTTTCTGAAATGTTAGACTGGAAATGTATTTTAAATTTACGAGCAGGTATAAGATGATCGTACGAAGAGAAAATCTGGGAAATAAAAGAAAAATCTAATTTTCTAATAAGCACAGATGACACAAAAATTAAAATTAAAAGGCATCTCTAAATTAAGAATTTGTAAAGATACCGAGATTTCCCAAACATTCACCGTCACAGTTTTCAAATTAAGGAAAATTTTTAATAGAGACAAATGATAAAAACGTTTTATTAAGGATTTTAAATGATAAGGACAAATTCTATATTAAAAATACGTTAAAGATTGATTGAGGATAAATCAATTTTTTAATAAAAATTATATATAAATGTATAAAAGGACGAGGACAAATTCTGTATTAAATATACATTTGGGATCGAATGAGGACAAATCGAAAATTCTCAATGGAAAAATGATAACAATGGAAAAATGATAAAATTTAGAAAATACATTAACGATCAAACGAGAACAAATTATAAAAAAAACATAAAAATATGACGAGGACAAATTCTATATTAAAAATACATTAAGGATCGAATGAGGGCAAATTAAATTTTTGTAATGAACAAGTATAAAAATGGATGAAAGATAGAAAATTTAATTATATAATTTTCGAATAAAAACCGAAAAATGGATGAATGATAAAAAAGACATTAAAAGTAAGAAAATTAGACGTTTTAACCAATTTTAGCTAAATATATTGAAACCGTTTTCTTGAGGGAAGACATTTACAACTTCTTCATACAAGCCTGTTTTCAATATAATGCAGCAATCTTTTATTTTGTGAATATTCTGAAAACTTTTTATATTTTAAAACCTCATTCCAATCCATAACATCTGTTCAGTCTGATGCCGAAGAAAATAAAATAACGGATTTATTAAACTTTTTAAAGGAAGAAATTGAATCTAGAGAACGTTTATTTCTTTCAACTAAATCGATGGACTGCGATAATATTTATTCAAAAAATACAGATAAATATATTCGCGCTAATAAACATAATAAAGAAAAGTTCGTATCGTATGAAATTTAAAATAAAAGTCTGAAGAAACAATTAACGGCTGCAGCCTTAATGTTGAAAATTTGTGTGTTTTTTCGTGATAAACTAACGTATCATTTATCAGATGATTGTGATAAATTTAACATAGTGCAAAAGAAGGATACCCTTAAAAGAAATGGTACATATATCTTGTGTTATAAAATGTTTCAGAGTTAAGGTTGAACGTAGTGTATGCCGTAAAAGGCAACAAAACAGATAGGGGTTACGTAAAAAGGCTTATCCAGTTGTAAATGATTCTTTATGTGAATAGGTTAATCCCATTGATAACTCTGAAAGAGTATTGACATTAGTAATGCCGGAAAAGAAAGAAATTGGTAAACAAATTTTTTTTCTACAAATATTCCGGATCACTGTTCTTGGCAGAGGAATCAAAACGAAAGTTTTTTGTTTACTTGATTCAGGAAGTCGACGAACATCTATTCATGGAAATTTATGGAAGAAATTAAATTTGCTTACCGTAGGTAAAGAAATTTGAATTTATATGCGTTTAGTCACAGCAACACAGTAATTAACACTGCAAGATATAGGGTTAAATTCCAGTTATGTAACATTAAAACGAAAGTAAATGTTTGACTATTGAAGCATTAGGATCACCAGAAATTTGTGATTCTTTAATAGAATTTCCTAGCCAGGAGCTGAATAAACAGACACAATCTTTAAATATTAAATTATCTGATTATGAATATGGTGAATACAATAATGATAAAATCGGAATACTAATCGGATCAGATTATTTGGGGAAAATAATTTCCGGTAAAACAAAACGCTTAAGTTCGGTGATGCTAATAGGTACACCGACGTTATGGTGCATTCAAGTTCGACTTACATATTCTTCTTTAAACATCAAACCATCATCCGTTGGAGTTTTAAACGCTGTTCGTATGAAAAGTGTTGATGAGTATCAGTTAATGTAGTCTCAGTTAAAAGGTTTTGGGGAATTAGAATCCCTACGTATCCAGAATCACTTGCCCATATCCATAAAAGTGCCCATTTCTGATGAAGATACTCTTCGAAGTTTCGAATCAGGTTTGATTTTTAAGTAAAGCCGTTAGGAAGTACAACTTCCTCCAGAACATGATTCTGGTAATTTAGAAAATAATTATGATAATGTTTAGAAAAGACTTGTTTCGTTATTTCGAAGATTTTATAAGAATCCATCCTTGTATGCCAACTATAAATCTGTGAAGAAGAATATTCTAATATTGAAATCGTAAAGTCACCAAGTGAGAAAAACGAAACAGATTTGAATCTGATATATTATTTACCACATCACTCTGTCATTTGAAAGGATAAGAATACAATGAAATTAAGGATTGTTTTCAATGCTTCTCCTCATGTTCTTTTGTTAAGTGAATTGTTGCATCCTGGACCAAACTTAAACCTAGATCTCTTAAAGCTCATATTTAAATTTCGAATTAGCCGAATGACATTTATTGCTGATATTGAGGTGGCATTTCTTCAAATTAGTCTAGTACTGATCGTGATATTGTACATTTTCTTTGGATAGACGATATACCAGATAATGTATCTGATATTGAACTCAAAATTCTACGAATGATCAGAGTCTGTCTGGATTACTTCCAGCCCATTTCTTTTAGCTACCGTAATTAAATTCCACTTGAAGCAATATTCCACTATGTATCTGGGCACTTATTTGATGTTAAACGAATTGATGTATGTCGACGATTAGTTATCAGAAGGTCCGAATAAAGAAGAAATTTTCCGAAGATCTAAAGAAGACCATAAAATCAGTGGAGCAAGAATGAAATTTCAAAAACTTTTGTAATTTTGTAGAGCTTGAAAACCTGTGGACAGCTTCTAACTCCGAAACTAGAATAACATACGATACAGATATTTCATCAAAGGAATTGGGAATCGTTGTTTCATTGTAGGTTCTGGTTCGAAAAAATAAAATTACACAACGTTGAGATGAAGTATAATCCTTTTATTTCTGCTAGAAGACTCTAGGTTACACGGGTTCTCTTCTACCAACTTCACATTCCTCGTAACAACTGCTTAGGGCAGTGGAAGTTGCATTTCACTCAATGTTCCAAACAGGCGGTATACTTGGGAGCCTCTTCACTGCAAGCTTTGCTCGGCATACGCCTCAGTGCTTCATTATAACTGTATATAACATAAAATCTCCTGACGTAACATGCTACCTCTTGAGCCTACTAGGTTCAATAAAAAGAAAAGAAAGTCAATTAGTTGAATAAATCATAGCACAGTTAAAACTTCACATACAAGTTTAACAGTTATAGATGAGATGTTCCAACATTATTCTCAAACTGCAAAATGCATATCTTTGAAACACTTCTTTTAGATATTTCATGTTTCCTCTTCAAGTTTACTTCTCGTATTTTTTGTCACTTCCTAGAAAATCTTTTACCACTCTTCCCAATAACCAGCTACAAACAGGCATATTATCTTCTTTAATGATAACTAAAGTCCCTCTTTTTACATTGTTCTTAGCGTACATCCACTTACTCTTTTATTAGAAATTGTTTAAATAAGTATGCGACCACTTTTTCCAAATGAATTGAGTCAGTTTTCTTACACGTTTCCAGTGGGAAAGTCTATTATCTGATAAAGTACTAAATCCTTCTCAAAGGGTGTTTGTCTGAACGATATATCGAAAAATGTGCAGTTGTTAACACTTCAAGATCATTTGGATCAGTTGACAGAGGAGAAATAGAACGGCTGTTAGGGATTCCTTCAATTTTATTTCTTACTGACTAGAAACACTTCTAAAATTAAGTTTACATTACTCATACAACGCTTTAAATGGTACTTGAAAGCCTTCAATCTCGCTTCGCAGTCCTTCAAAAATGGGTCATCGGAGATGAATAAAATTCCGCTCAATACTTTCCGTAACTAGATATCCCGTTAATATCTCATCTGGCTTTTTAATAATACTGTAAAGCCTCTTTATATTTTATTTTCTGTTATCCTTAGTTAAGTTTATTCTTAGAATCTTTATGTTTTTGTTTTCTAGCGTTAACCTTTTGTTGATGGACCACCTGTAGAGTTGAAACAAACCTTTTTTAAGCGTTGGCTCATTTTAACTACTAGCTCAGAGCCCTCTTGAACATTATCAGCATCTGTCAACACATCATCCACATAAAAATCCCTTTTTACTGTGTTGGCGATTTTATGAGAATTTTCGGTTTCATCAGTTGTTTAATGCTTCAATGCTCTTGT